GCATATATATAGGATTTTCATGCGAATGCGTGCCCACTTACTTTATACGTATGCGCATGTGTTTTTGTACATGCTTTTGGGGGGGGGGCATGTTTTGAGGCAAGTTAGCAGTCTAGTATATAAATATAAATGTCTATGGTCTATCTCCTTTAAGGCATGTACGTAGCATATTCTAGGGAAACGCGATCCGCCAATCACAAAACTCGTGGGATATCAATTATCGTCGACATTGTCATTTTCGATATTCTACAATGTACATTCTACATGAGAGACGAGCTTGAAATTGTGTAAATTATATCGTGGAAAGCCATGACATCGGAAAACATCGCGCATGCAACGAAGAAATGAGGCGATCGTGACGTCTCGGGAGACTTCGCGCTCGACTTGAACAACACTCGAGGTTAACTCCCGCCGGAGACAATCGCGCATCCAAATGGTTACGACCTCGCGTTATAACCTACGCCGTGTATGCGATTCTTATATCAGCTGATGAGTTCGATGTAACTGCGTGCACAACAACCAGATTTTTAAACATCTCATTCCCCACGATTCACCGAATAGAAAACGTTGCAATGGCAGATCTCGCCTTAGGAGAACTCAGCGGCGATCAAACCGAAAAAGTACTACAGTTTCAGGTACACGTTTGTTTGATTCTTATCTTAAGGTCACATGTGTATTTTCCGCGATATCATATCTAAACATCACCTTCAGGATCTCACTGGCATCGAAGATCTATCAGTATGCAGAGACGTTTTGCAGAGGCACAATTGGAATCTAGAAGTGGCAGTTCAAGTATTGTCCATTATTTCTTTAAAATCTTTTTTAATCTACTCTTATCTATGTCTCAAAATTTCAAATTTCTGAAATTATGTCAGTTATCTGAAATAACTAATCGAATAAAGTTACATTATATTTGTATTTATAATATGCAATATTTCATATTTATTTACATTGATTTGTATAACAAGATAATCTATATTGTTTATGGATATGTTATGTAAACATATCACTTGTACAGACTCATAAATAGAGCTCTAATTTTTACTATTCTACATGATTCTATATGTCACACAGGAACAATTAAACTTGTACGAAGGCAGACCATCCATGTACGCACAAGACTCGCGTGCCCGTCCACCACAGGTCGTAGATGATAGTAGTTCGAGAATTTATTTTAGTTACCCTGGGAGTTCTGATGGAGGTGGTG